CACTCAAGCTTTATTTCCAATGGACTGAAACAAAACGACTCGATGGGGCCTTTAAATCACTGCAGGTGAGTGCACTGAGCTTCCAAGTGACTTCCACAGCGCTTCCAACTCGACTTATTTTTCTTCAGAAACAGTTCTAGTCATGGTAATGAGACTTTTAAGCTTTGTTTCATATCACAACAAACAGCATCTCCCCAGAGTAACGGACAATACCTAAGTTGTTCTACAAGAAATCCTGGAGAGAGAGCTCTGCAAAGGGATCCTTTCCTGAGGCTCTGTGAGGACTCTGACTGGAAGGGCTGGATGCTGCAGACAGCTAGTAGGAAAGACGACAGAGAAAGGGAAAGAAAAAGAAAAAAGGTCTCAGAATGACAGAATATGAAAGCTGAACGTGTAATGAGAGGACAAGGGCAGGTTTAGAGGCAAACTTGGCAGAAATCAACTGTTAAAACAAGGTGTTCGGTCACATGGAAAACACAAAAAGCCTCTTCAGTGGTTGGTGTAATGCAGAAACAAGCTGGATGTGGCCCTCTGGAAAGGAAACTTCTATTGGTGTTTGCCAAAGCAGCAGGTAACCTCGTGCTTCCAGAGGGGCTTTCTTCACAAGAGATGAAGCCTGACTCTGGTGACTGGCAAAGGCAGGTCCTGCCAGGGACAGAGGAGGCTGTGGGTCCAGCCCTGGTGAGGCTGCTTTCCAGATGCCTTCTCCAAAGGAAACAGCTCTCAGCATCTTTTCCTCTCAAAACAGGATGTCTACAAAAAGAGGCTGGAGAGTAGATAATGGATAATTCATAATTTGGGGCCTAGAAGGAGAACAGGGGACACGTGCTGGGGGTAGATAAAAAAGAAGGCAAAAATGTGTCAGTTGCTGCTGTTTTAGGTGAGAGCTGACAACTAAGACCAACAGTCCATCTGCTAACCCAAATCACATCCTACAGCCCTGTATTTAAAGCATCACACTACAAACATATCAAGCACGTAATTTACTAGCAGTTAATACTGGCCTTCCAGCTCCAGGGACCAGCAATCTGCAGGCTGTAACTGCAGAGTATCTGCTGTTTGATGATTTATTTAGCAGTTTTCCTTCTTACTGCTTTTCCAGCTACAAATGGTGATTTATTAAACTCTATTTGCCTCCCCCCCCATAGAACTTGCATGGTTTTGTAGTTACAGCTGGAGTCAGCTGTCTCCATTTCAGGTTCCATCACTTTAATGGTTTACTCACAGACTGGTTTGGGTTGGAAGGGACCTTAAAGCTCATCCAGTTCCAAACCCCTGCCATGGGCAGGGACCCCTTCCACTAGAGCAGGTTGCTCCAAGCCCCTGTGTCCAACCTGGCCTTGAACACTGCCAGGGATGGGGCAGCCACAGCTTCCTGGGACATCCTGTGCACTTCCCTTTAAGCACTGGAGCTGCTCTAAGGTCTCCCCTTAAGGAGCCTTCTCCTCTCTGGGCTGACCCAGCCCAGCTCTCTCAGCCTGGCTCCAGAGCAGAGCTGCTCCAGCCCTTGCAGCATCTCACAACCCTCTTAAGTCACTACCACCAGCACTTACTTGCACTTCATACCCACTGCAAAAACCATCGCACGAAGATGTCCTTTTCTTTGGAAGCACAGAACATCTGCCAGCCTGTGCATGGCAGGGAACACGCTTATGGGAACTGCTTGCACAAGTGCCCAGCGTGTAAATACTGACACTGCCCATTTAAATCCTTCATGTTAACACCTATCTCAACCAGGTGAGGAGTAGTTCTTTCATGATCAGTACTCCCTCTCTGCATTGGAATCTTTCTCTCCCTCTCAAAACCCCACTCCCAATGGGCACTCGGGTCCAGTCCCCGTAGCTTATGGAAGGAGTTATGGGACAGAATGGGAAGTGCTGGAGAAGCAATTTCAGCATGGCAGAAGTTCCCCTTTTAATCTCAGTTCTTCCCTCTGGAAAGCTGTAGCTCACATACCCCACCACTCTCCAGGATTTGAGCTGGACTACACAATGTAGTCCTATAGTCATGACGAGAGCAGGACTTGTCTGCTGTCACTCCATTTCATGACACATTCTTCCTCTTCACAGTCAAGTGGCTTGAAGTCACACATTAGAAGTCCTGGTATATTGAGCTGGTGAATCTCCAACTGACACTGAGTCCAAAGGGATGCCCCAGTTTGAAAGCAGTGTGGAAGACTGGCAGGTTTAGAGCTCTGTCACTGTGCATGTAGCCAGTAACAGGGGTGGAACTTCAGGAAGCCTCTTCAGGTTAAATACTGGGAAAACAACTTCAGAATGCTACTTCCTAGGTGCCATGGCCAAATTCAGACGGGACAGTATCTTACAGTAAATACGTACATTAACAAGATTCCTCTAATTATTAAAAAGGCCTAAAAATACTTGTGGAAAGTACAATTAGTTTCCTACACTACATCTATCCAGAATCCAGGATAGATCTATCTGAAAACCAGAACCTCCTGCAGCAGTTTCTAAGGAGAAGCATCTAAACCAGCAGCAGCCTCAGTTTCTCTAGTGCTAACACATCCAGAGCTGTGGATTTAGCCTCCTCACACCTGGCACTTGTGTGATCTGAAATGCCATGTCCTGTACTGCACCAGCCCCAAAGCCTCAAAGCTTGATCTCCCCTCCAACAGCAGCTGGCACTTCTCACTGCTTCCAACTGACCCAAAAGCTCCCTGGAGTCACAGCAGGACAGAACCACCCCATCCATAGGTGCTGGTTATGCTGGTTCCCATTGTTAGATGGGTGCTGATTCCTCATTAAACAAGTCTGTCAGGCTGCTTTAGGATTAACGTACTGAAAGGAACACCTGGAAAGTCTCTGGCGTGAGTCTGTCCTGAACCTCATTCCCTGTTCTGCCAGTTTCAAAAACCCAAAACAACCAAACAGCAGCCAAAGAACCCACCAAAACGAAACCCCGACAAACCCAACTTACTCATTTACACATCCACCTCCTCCTCAGCATCACCAGGTGATCCCTCCTACTGCCCTTCCTGTACAACCCAGTGATGGTAGCAGCTGGGGGGGTTCCATTCACACAGATGCCAGCAAGAGGACGAGTAATTTCTTTATTCTCTTATAAATATTATACTTTACCCAAATGCCTCCCTTCTCAGGGCTGGGTCCTTTTGGGGTAACCAGAGCAGAATATGTAACACTTAAAGCACAACACATCAGTATTGTACCAGTCTGTACCAGGCAGCGTGGTCATGGTTGTGGTGAGGACTGAAGCATGTGCATGATGCTACCTGGGCCTTCCAAGAGGTAACTGCTGTACATCATGAGCTGTATGACAGCATTTGGATCTGGCTTGTCTGAATTACTCTGCACTGGGTGCACTGTACCACATCTGCATCATTCCAGCTGCTCTTTAACCTTGGTTGGACCATTGGCTCAGCCTGTCCCTCACACACACAGGAACACTCATCCCCTGCCAGCTAAAATTTAATGAAACCACTCCGACCTCTCACTGCTGTGGGCAGCATGATGTAATATAACTGCAGAGAGGAATCTGCTGCTGTTTTATCGTGATGAAAACTCATTTTCCTTAAGTGAAAAGTACCGAGCCACATCAAGGTACGTGGTTTCAAAGAAAAAAGGCACACACCAGTCTCTATGCAGTACTTCCTGCACCCACGTTTGCAAAGCAGCGACTGCTCCAGTCTCGTTCTCAATCATTGCAAATCATTTTGCCCTTAAAAATGCCAACCCCCCTTCATTTTTGATAGCAACAGTTAGAAATGAAGTTGCAAGCACGTAAACAGAACACCGGAATGAGAAGCAAAACGTCTGGAGGAAGGAAAAGTATATTGAAGACAAATCCCTAAGTGTATCAAGTTAGGAATGTCAGTTTGAGTTAGGAAGAACTTATACCTCAAATAACTCATAACCTGATGTAACTTATTAGTTATAGAACTTAGAACTGTCATTATAACTGCACAACACTGGGCTGCCCAATTGACCAGCCTGTGTACACAACAGGAGGAGTTCCCAACACAATACAACGTGGCAATGTGATTTCTTAGCAACAGCTTTATATCTCTCATGAAGCTTTTAAATACCTTCTAGTTTCTTGACTGCAGACAGCAACCAAGAGCTATCAGCAGACGAGAGGCAAGTGACAGAATCTGGTGTTTTAGGTGTGAATATGAAAAACACTACAGGTTTTGACAGGCATGACACCATGGACAAAACCTGGATTAGAATAATGGTGTTTAGAGGGATCCACGTGGGACGAAGGCAGTTTGAACTGTGTGCTTCCAGATAACCATTATCTGCTCTTTAAGCTTTGTTTACTTACCCCAGGAACACACATTTTTACTGCTTTATTTACTTCTTTAATATTTCTGGCAAAACAAGAGCACGAACTAAACCTAAACCTGTACTGCCCCTGTACAGGGCACTGGTGATTAGGCACCTCCAATCCTGTGTTTAGTTTTGGGCCCCTCACTACAATGATGGGGCAGCCACAGCTTCTCTGGGCACCCTGTGCCAGCACCTCAGCACCCTCACAGGGAAGAGCTTCTGCCTAAGAGCTCATCTCAGTCTCCCCTCTGTCAGGTTAAAGCCATTCCCCTTGGCCTGTCCCTACATCCCTTGTCCCAACCCCTCTCCAGGTTTCCTGGAGCCCCTTTAGGCACTGGAGCTGCTCTGAGGTCTCCCCTTAAGGAGCCTTCTCTTCTCCAACACTACTAAATAATAGTAAATTGACATCAGTAAACGTCATCTCTGCCACATCTGGGGAAGCAGCTCTCAGAAGCAGCCTTTGTTTCACTGAGGTTCCTTTAAAGGGATATCAGACGTCTGAAAGCTCAGTGCCTGCGAGCAGCACAGACTCTGCGTCTCAGGGAGAGCCCTGCTCGGTCACGCAGCAAACGCTGATTCAACGGGTGTGTTTCTATCAAATCAATTCTCACCGGAGCCAGGCTGTGAGATAAGCACCACAAACAGCTCTGCACACCCTACTGTGACTAATTCCTCCTTCTCCTGTTATGACAGCGGCTGCGGTTCAACCTAGACCAAGCCCTGCAACCTCCAGTGAAGCAGAAAGGCCTGGCCTGGCTCCTCCGACCCATCAGCCTGTGTCTGACTCAGGCAGGTTATTATTTAGTTCTGGTTTTACAGGATCATTTCAAATATGATTTTTTTGGGAACTGTAGGGAAAACTCTTTTCCTTGAGGATTAACTCGCTCTTTATTTATGAAGAGCCACAAACACTTTCTCCCACCCTGAAATAACATAAAACCCACGTGAAAGATACCGAATCACTTAAGTGGCAGGGAATGCGCAAAGCATCTCTCAGAAGCCCAAGAGAAAGTTAACAGAGATTGCATTTCCAGCTGGAGAACTCCATCAGCTTCCCTTTCAGATAAAGCCTTTATAAAACAAGAACATTAAGAAAACGATCTATCCACAAGGCTCTATTTTAAGGAAGACAATGGCCACACTGCCCATTGCAGCACACAGCACAGCCTCTCCTGTTAACGCATCAGATTTGGGCAGTGGAAAACGTTTGAGGCTCTTTTCCCTTCCAACCTACTGCCGAATTCTCTCCCCTCTGAACTCCAGAACCAAAGCCCATAAACGCCCCAATGCACACCTACATTACACAGACGTGGCTTTAAACAGTCACCTTTAAAGACTGAGCTCTTGATAGGAAGATCAAAACACAGACCCAATATATTACACTGCTGTGTATTAAAGTCATTGTGTTCAGTGTGAACTTTGACAGTTTTACTGGTAAGTAAAACCCACGCTGTTCACACTGGAGTTCTGCCTGCCAGCTACACTCTGCCCCTAACTGCAGCTCACACACACAAAGCCTCAGTGCTCTCAGTACTTTCTGAATACACTGTGCAGGTGTTTGCTGTTGTCCATCTCTTCTTCCCCACCTTTTTAAATGCTTTTCCTACTTCAAAAAGCTATTTTGAGATGGCAACTGGGTTAAAAAGATGTGAGTTCAGACAGAAACCTCCCAGTGACAGAAGTTTGGTGAACAAGCAAAGAAAGGAACACATTTAACTCCAGTATTCATAAAGTCAGTTCTTCTCAATGGTCAGAGGACCCCTCCAGCACACTCCCTCGTTCCTGCACATTAGAAAATGAGTCTCTACACAACACAAGCAGCAGCAAAACAGGCAATTTAAGGAACACTCCACTTAGAACCATAGAACACTTAGGGTTGGAAAGGACCTTAAGATCATCCAGTTCCAAGCCCCCTGCCACAGGCAGGGACACCTCACACTAAACCATGTCACCCAAGGCTCTGTCCAACCTGGCCTTGAACACCACCAGGGATGAAGCATTCACAACTTCCTTGGGCAACCCATTCCAGTGCCTCACCACCCTCACAGTAAAGAACTTCTTCCTTATATCCAATCTAGACTTCCCCTGTTGAAGTTTTAACCTGTTACCCCTTGTCCTGTCACTACAGTCCCTAATGAAGAGTCCCCTCCCCAGCATCCCTATAGCCCCGCTTCAGATACTAGAAGGCTGCTATGAGGTCTCCACTTAAACATAACGCTTTACAGGGAAGGGCCAAAATGGTTGCTGTAGCTATTGAGCATCTTTCCCTGTGCTGTAAACACTGTCTCTGCAAAATAGTAGAGGAACACAAAGACCTCCAGAGAACACAATGGTTACAATGAGATGAACGCGCCACCTGCCTCCCCCGAGGGTGGTCAGTACCAACAACCAGGAGTCTGGTTGCAGTTTCATGATCTTTTCAAGCTTACCTGTAACGTTCATAGACCTAAAAGGCTACATACACCCTGTTTGTCCCCTGAGAAATGCTCTAACGTAAGTATGAAGCTTATACTTAAAGTTTACAGCTACTGCCGGACTCGGTTACTTTATATTCTAATACTTTTAGGGGTAACAGGCTGAAAAACAGCAGTTGGTTTGGGTTGGAAAAGACCTTAAGCTCATCCAGTTCCAACCTCTGCCATGGGTAGGGACACCTCACACTAAACCATGTCACCTAAGGCTCTGTCCAACCTGGCCTTGAACACTGCCAGGGATGGAGCACTTACCCCTTCTTTGGGCAACCTGCTCCAGTGCCTCACCACCCTCACAGTAAAGAGCTTATTCCTTATATCCAACCTGAACTTCCCTTGTTTCAGTTTAACCCCATCACCCCCTGTTCTATCACTACAGTCCCTGATGAAGAGTCCCTCTCCAGCATCCTTGTAGGCTTGCTTAGGAAAGCGCTGCAATACCACAGACTCACACACCTGGAGATAAAGCATCACAGAACGTGACTTTGGGGAAGAAACCTGTCTTCAGCAAACAGCACAGACGTTAACTGTCCTCTTCTTAAAGAGCTGAGGATAACCTCGGTCACATTCCCCCAAAGCCAGTGCTTTAAACCCTTATCCTCTGCTTCTCTAAGGCCACACTTGATGCTGCCAACCTGGAGCCAAGAACCTAGGAAGCAATCCTCACATCCTGGGCTTGTGCAATACATTTATCCAACACAAGAAAATACCAACACACTTTTAAAGGAGCTGACCCAGCTGCAGTTTGTTCCGATATGGCACCAATGACTTTGGATATACACACCTGTGCTCCTGGGACAGGGCCGAAGGGGTTTGGTGGTCTCATGACTGGCTGACTGTATATTAAAGTTGGCTGTGTCATTACTGGTATGCCTCCCATCTGCAGTGGCTACAAGAGATCCAGACAGCATCAAATCACACACAGCATCAACACACCACATGTATTATATTCTGTGATTGAAGGAGAGAAAGGGAAATGGCACATGGGTGAAAAGCCTTGGTCAGATTTAACAGATGCAATCAGGAAGATCTTTCTACACTATTCTGCAAATAAAGGTTACTAGTAAGGAACATTAGAGCCTTTTCAAGGAGCACTCTCAATAGCAACTGAGCCCATTTAATCTCTTGCTGCAGAGATCTGAAAAGTTAAAATACTTGTTTAAGCACAAGCATTTGTGCTGGTGCTCTTGCTCCCAGACTGAGGTTGGAGCCTCTGAAAGCACAAAGACAGATTCACAGATACCCATGCAGAGCTGAGCTTAAGAAAACCTGGGAGCTGAAAACTCAAATATGAAGTGTCATTATGCAGTCTTAGTCTAAAGTGTTACTGATGCTCTGGCTGAGCCAAAGGAAAAGCTTAACCTATATTAATGGTCTTGGAAGTCAGGTTTTATATAATGTAAATGCCCATCTCTGGCACTGCTTTTGGCAATGCTCTAAGGCTTGGGTTGATACCCCCTACCGGAGCAACATCCATTCCCAGCAGCTTTTCCTTGACTAATCCTGGCACTCCTACTTTTAACCCCCACAATGAAAGCTGCCTTACAAACCATGCAAGACTATTTTATGTACAAAGTCCCTCCCCAGCTTTCTTGTAGCCCCTTTAGGTACCGGAAGGCTTCCCCAGCTGCTGAATCAAACTAAGAAAGCTCTTCCAGCACCATCGGTGCAAAGCTGTGTAGATCAACTCTGAATCAGCGCCGGTGGTTGCTTAACCATGATGACTTTGCACACCACCACGCTACAGGAGTTCACAGTGGGGAATATGTTCCTCTCTCAGAAGACCCTCAAGGACACAGATGCTGCTTTCACACTTGGCTTACTGAGTGCACACAAGTTATAAATTACTCATTTGATGGCATGATGACACATTAAACTTGGTTTTGTATGATGCTAATCTTTGAGCCGTGCAACTGAGTTACTGTTGTAAGGAAGTTCTCTCCCCTTTAATTCACCCAGCAAAGCTGTGCTACATCAAACCAGATTAACAGGGAAGAGTTCAGGCCAATCGTTTCAGGAGTTGGAGATAAGAACAAGAATTGGAACAAAGTTCCAATTCAAAGTTGCTTTTCAGGGCAACAAGCAGCAAGGTCAGGTCTATGTCAAAAGCCTTCCAGCGCTGATGTGCCACCAAGATTCAATCTCAACCAACACCACAACAAAGAATCACAGAATGGTTTGGTTTGGAAAGGACCTTAACATCATCAAGTTCCAACCCCCCTGGCCTTGGGCAGGGACACCTCACACTAAACCATGTCACCCAAGGCTCTGTCCAACCTGGCCTTGAACACTGCCAGGGATGGAGGGTTCAAGTGCCACAACTTCCCTGGGCAACCCATTCCAGTGCCTCACCACCCTAACAGGAAAGAATTTCCTCTTTATATCCAATCTAAACTTCCCCTGTTTCAGTTTGAACCCATTACCCCTTGTCCTGTCACTATACTAATGAAGAGTCCCTCCCCAGCATCCCTATAGCCCTCCTTCAGACACTTCTTGTCACAAACTTGCAGTCTTATAGCAGTGATCATTACCAACACCTTTTACTGAGGTTGGGAGCAAGTATTTGTGGAAGGTTTCACTTCACTGGTAAAATATTCCTGTTGTGAATGTAGCTGGTTGTACCCACATGCTGCACTTGTTCCCATGATACACTGATTTCTACAATACACTTATTTCTACGCTAATAAAGCCAATGAATTTTAAGGAGTTTATGAAAAACTAAGTGAGGTAATTTCAGACTCCAATTTCAGACAAACCCCACTGAAGCAGTTCAGAAAAACAGGACTTCATGATTTGAAGAATAAACTGGTAAGAGCAGAAATTCAGTCTTCAGAGAAGCAGTTCAGAAAAACAACTGCTACCAAACCGTAAGCAATCAAATCTAAAGCATCCCGCTTGTGCTGCAGGAATTCCACTCACCATTCCATAGCCCATCATTCCCGTTGGTGTTGTGGCAGGATACGCCATTACAGGTGGTGCCTGGTGTGAAAAACAGGGGTGAACTGAGAGGAGAAGAGAGCAGCTGCACACTGGTAAGACATTGCGTTCTAAGGGTCAACTGCAGCACTTGGCTTGTTATCAATACAGCAAAGAAGAAATAGGATTTACAGTCTCGTGTTAAGAGTGTATCCAAATTATTTCATCTGAAATTTAGCACCTACAGTTCCTATTGGCAAACCTATGGTTATGTATTTGCTTTTCACCTGTCAGGCTAACCTACACTGCAAGCTACCATTCCCTCAGCATCCTGTTTAAAGAACACAATAGGAGACACAGATAAGTTTATTCAGGAAGCAGAAGCATTTTTTTAATCCCATAAAGTATATCTTTATATCTCAATATCAGAAATTATGGCACACAAGGAGCCTTAAGAGTGAATTTTACAGCTGGAAAGAGCAAATTACCATTGCTTCTGCTGACATTCAGGGAATTCTCTCAAGCCAGGATGTATACACTATGGGGATTGTCCTATCACGCTTCAATAGGAATCCAACATGAATATCCAGCTTCTATCCTCTCTCACTTACCCTGAGTACAGTGAATTTGAAGA